CTTATGGCAGCATTGTATATCACGAAGTTCGAACTCTAAACTGCCCCGGAACTGGGCAACTACGCTAGGTTTAGTTCATGGACAGTGAAGCGCCTTGAGAAGCAGAAAGAAAGAAAAGAGTGGATGAACCTTCGAGGTAAAAGAAGGATAAGTAAAGGATGCACAAGATCCCATGCTTCCTACTGGCAGATGTGTATGATGCCATGCAGATGCATACGGTGCTGCTTTCAAAATAGAATCTACTGTGCTGCTGATGAGAAAATCCCGCTGGGATGAGGTAAGTCAGATATCTCGTTGATGCACATTGAGAGTATCAATATCTAAAGAAAGGATTGATCCGGGAATTTCCGCATTGCCTGCACCTCTACGTGATGATCATGAAGAGAAGGATGACAGTTCAAAGAGGAATCTGATATTCAGTCATGAGGGATGGGATTAATAGTTCCACGAAGTAGAAGTCCGAGGAGAAGAACTCCTTTACTTCCAATCAGTGAGTCAAGATTAGATCGAATAGCTAGTTTTTACCATTGCGCTTGTTCCAGCCGCCATCAGAGTCTGTTCATTACCTTCGTACAAATCGAGATGTCCCTGAGACCGAGACCATGGTACTTCATCTGTAACTAGTGATTGATTCACAAGAAATTTTACTTGAAAAATCATCGATTTAAACAAGTAATAAAAATACTCTACCTGGACATGTATAATATATTGTGAAATAATATTTTTAACTTCCTGCATATCTATTGTTGTCCACTCAATACATTATTATAATGATATCTAAATAATCATATAAATTAAAGTTACATACACAATGATACTATTACTGTTTTCTTGTCTCCGAATTCTATCACATATCTAATAAGAATCTGTAGATAAAGTACTATCTGTACAATGATTCATGTTAGTTTCATGCACTATAGATAGATATGAGGCCAGTAGGAAGGACAAGATGTAAAGTATGTAGAAGATAATACTTGTTGCGGTATACTTTGTCCACGTGCATTTAACAATGTAATTAAGTTGTGGTGCAAGGAGATCCATGCAACCCATTGAGCTGAATGCTTCTGGCGCGCATGATTTGAAAGTGCACGGCTATGAGTATTCTGAAGAACTGTCCACGAAGTTAGGAGCTGATATGACTTACTTGTTCATGTCTGTCTGTTATTGCGCATGCGACCTGCAATGTCAAGGTGGGGATGTAGGTTCTGTAGCCGTTCTTTCCTGCAGACTGATGCATGTTAACGTATGCTATCACTGAACAATATAGTACAGGGCTGTAATTTTGATTACTTATGATTGTCCAATAGCTCCTGCCTGAGTATCAATGGAAATGGTAGTCCAAGAGCAGACATCCACATATCACGAATTCTTCTTCGTAGCATGTTTTCCATGACAAGGCACACGACTTGAATACTGTTGCCAAACATGGAGCGCTTTGCATGTTACGAGACATGATGCCTTAAGGAGAAAGGCAATGTTTTCACAGTAGTCGACCCTCGACCTTATTGAAATCTTCGTATAAAACCCACATTGAAAGATAAGTGGGCAGCATGACATCACGCGCTGCTGGAGAAGTATAGAGCTGTCTGATAACTTATTCTCTGTTTGTGATTGACGCCTTTTGTTTTGACGCCTTTTGTTACACAGTGACAAAAGGCTTCCGTGCATTACTACAGTGCCATTTCAGGCTCCACGAGCGAAAACATATGGATGTAAGTTCTGCGACAGATTGAATTGGCTTGTTGCCATGATGTATCTCCTCAGGCTCCACGAGCGAAAACATATGGATGTAAGTTCTGCGACAGATTGAATTGGCTTGTTGCCATGATGTATCTCCTCGGAATCCACGACACCGTGAACTTCTCTCAATTTGCGAATGTTCTGAGCACTGATGCAGCTGGCTCATACTTGCTGAATCTGTTGAATGGCGTTCTCATGGTACATTTATTTCCTGTGGCAAGTTGGAAAATGAAAACATACCCGAGCTGCTCTTGAGTGTAAAATTGGAGACAGCACTTACAGCTGTCATAGCTGTTATATTCTGTTCAACCTGTAGGTCTTTGCAATGCTTTAGGTCGATGATAACTACCGGCACGAATTCACAGCAGAGTTTAAGACAATACAGCTTCTGAGTTTGTTCGATGGCTTGCTTAGTAAATCTCATTGATATTATGTTTCTTTCTCACTGCGTTTATTATCTAGGATGGCATCAGACCACCTGTGTTTTGCGCTCCAAGCTCTCCTTCCAAACAGTGCTTCTGGGTGGGTTGCGCTCGTGCTGATGAGTGAATGGTTCTTGGGTCAACTGGAATGAGATCTTGGAGCACTAAAGTACCGCGATATTGGGCGGATTTATATGCTGTAACATTATAAAATTGCTGTTATGTAGTCAACCGGATTCCTGCCGAAATGCGCCAAGCGGCGAAAAGCGCATGTCTACACGTGCCCCGCTTCCTTGCGACAGTGCTTTCGAATACTACGATCCCTGCACGAACCTTGTCAACCCTCGTCCAGTTCTAGAACTCACGGAAGGCCCAGGCCGGGCACCAACGACGAACATCATCATACGAGTTACGCGGTGTGTAATAATTAGCGGCGTTGACGCTCGGCTCGTCCGAAGAACCAACGGGACGAAGAAGTTGCCACATTGAGGGGCTTCCAGGCACGGAGGTCCGGGATTCAAATTGATCGCCTGGAAATTATGACAAAGTTTGACTCCGCGCCGCTTGCACCTGGAACGCAGTTCAATGCATAACCGAGAACATCCACTTCAACAAATTCCGGAACAGTAGATGGATCATGGATTCATGGACGCTGAGTTCATCTACTCCGAGCTAAGAGACAGAAGGCTCTACTGTAGCCTTGCTCCAACCCCCGGTCTGACAGTCCACACCGCCATAGACCGACGACGATCACCCACGAGGGGGGTGGGGGGGCTTATCTAATCTGCTGTAACAAGGAAATCTGCTGTAAAAGAGAAATTGAGACAATTCGTACAGATCTGCTAACTTAACCTTGCATGTGCATGCCAACTAGTTCTAGTACTACATCGGTGAATCCTGTGCATAAGATCGACAAAACGGGAACGTTTTACAGCTTAATAGCTTCCTATGCAGCTTGAAAGAAGATCTTATCATCGTCAGATTTTGAAAGTGGAGTTTTACTCAAATTCCATACAGCGAGTTCTTTCTCTCTTGGCAGTGGAGCTGGGCTGACGAGTTAGGTTGTGATACATGCATAGAATCAAGGCGCGTCCCCAGATTGTTACTATTCTGATCTTCAGACGTATCTCTTTGATAAAGGAGACAAGTGACAGTAACAAATATTGGATCGCAATCCCCATAATACGCTTTGAGACTGTAACGCGATCAATCTCAAAATTTCTTCGCGCACATTCACCTGTCATTTTTCCGCCTCTGCTTCTTTCTTTTGAGGGAGTTTCTTGCGTTGCAGGGAGAGCTGATTATTGAATAGTTAGCCGAATGCACTTTGACGTCATTATAAACTTGTGTAAAATACATGCAAACTCATATGACTCCATTAATTTCATAAACCCCTTTTCCGTTCACTCCATCATACTGTCAACTGTCAGTTGAAACTTGAAAGTAAATATCTAGAATCACTGCTTAATATTACTACCTTATTGCAAGTTTTTTCCCTTCATTTACACGCAAACATACGATTTTCTACCAATATTTGAAATTTTAGAAAAAAGAAATTCATTTTCACGTAAGAAGTCAAGATTGGGGCATCTACGTACTGAACCTTATTTTATTATCATTAGAGATCAAAAGTTTTCTTAGTGTTATGTCGACTTGCAAAAGTAGACTTCTCACATAATTAAAATTGGCTCAATGTACCAGTCATATTTTCAAGTGATGTTATTTCAAAGAGAAACTTTAAACAAGATGACAATCATCTACAATTTAGCCGCCTATAACCAACTGAGAGCTGGAAATAGATGTATTTATGGGAGCGGCTAGTTATCCTTCACCATGCGAGATTCACTCCTCCTTTGTCTTCAAACATGGCGCGAGATTCACTCCTCCTTCGTCTTCAAACATGGCGGGCGAGCGCTCCACGGCATCCTAGAAGCGCTGAGGCAAGCAGCGAACTGCAATCCAGGCGTAGGAACGTCGAGCGACCCGCTTCTCGTGGCCTCTCGTCCTCTCTATGCATCTCGTGCCTCGTCCTCCAAGGTTCTCTCTCTCCGTCCTTCTTTGCCCAAGCACACGTTCACTTAGGAATCCGCCATTGTATCTTCTCAAGCAATCACGCCAGATTTAGGGGGACCGCTAAACTGAACTGGATCCACGAAACACTCAACTGATCACACATCTGAATAATAATTAGCCTAAACTGAACCGAGAGATAACTAACCACTCCCTCTCTATGTATATATATATGATTTAATATATTGGGTCAATATTCATCCAAAATAATCATATAATCAAGTGGACACCCACTGTGAACTGGTTAACCTTGACCATTGTACATTTGTAATTTGTGACTTCGCCACTTCCAGTATAATATGTAAATGCTTCCTGTACAAGCATCATTCATGTTTTAACCGGCTTCAGATGATGTAAGGGTGTTCTTTCGAGATGAAGAGTTCGCATTAGCTTCAGAAGACTTTAGGTCACTTGGCAACTTTGTAACATCTTCTTAAAATGTATTCTGTGGATACCATTTCATCAAGAATTTACTCGGAGAGGACAATGATTGTGGTATACTTATTTGGCGGACAGAGTAACTGTCTATGACCATTAGAATACCTCGGATCAACACGGAACACACCAAAACTAAAATATGTCATCAACATCAAAATATACATATATCATAACATTATTCTTTGAGCATTATAAATATCCAAACCTGCACCACCATCTGAAGCGGTTACTATTTCGTTTTACAACAAGTTACTTTTATGAAAGTGATAAAACCGATTTATATAAAACGTAGTTTACAACAAATTACACCAATATCACTTTTTCCAGTATCCTCCTGAGTATTCTGAATCGAGCTCCAAATAACTACCGAGGTTACATAACCATAATTTTCAATTTTTGGAATAGATATTTACCTTGGTTAATTCCTTTCCACCCATCGATAATACGAAAAAATGTCAATAGCATTCACCTAAATATACTCTAAAATCCTCTACCACGAAGATTGCAAGCGCTTCTTCTGTCCTGATATCTCATGACAGGCGAGTAAGGCATTCATGTTTCGATTTTGAGCATTAATTTTTTGAATCTATATGAGATCCTACAATTGAGAATATTACAGATGTATGAATTTTGTGTACGTCTTGTTTGTCTCAAAAGACGATACGGTAGACTAAGAGTGAACGCCTTGGACACAGTAGATCTTATGTTACAAGCTGAATTCTTGGTCTGCATATGATTTTTCTTGTGACTTATTAATGTTCTGAATTTCCCCTAACTGCAACGTAAGACTTTTGCATGAAATAACTTACGTACAGAGAGAGATCACACCATCGCCTAAGAAATTTACCGAGAAATAGATCAACAGCCGGTCGAGCCTCTCTTTGAGTTCAGTGCCTCCTTCAGTCTGTACCCCAGGGCACAAGCCAGAGGTGGTGGTACAGCATTACCAATTTGCCGATGCTTACAGATGATATTACCGGCGAATTTATAAGAATCGGGAAATCCCTGGAACAATCACCAATTACCAACGCGCGTTAAGAAAACAAGCAGTTACCGAGAGGACCTTAAACATTGTTCTTCAAGGAAGCTTTCACAAGCTTTAGCCACCATTAAAAACTCAATACAGAATAGTTTCCAATATGAACGAAACCAACGAAAGCTCTTTTAAGATCAAATCAGAGATTTAAGCTGGATAAGTCGATAAGCTGTTTACGTAGACTATGGCAGGGCAAGTTCAGATCTGTCCATATATTTGTATACATACCTGAGAGCGGGCACATTCTCGGACTGTGACGATTCGATTTTGAACGGGATGGAAGCACATTCCTACTTTCCCCATGGGCTGAGGATCGGTGATCGAAGTGGGAAAATTGCCGTCCCAATCAAGACGTCCGAAGAGACCCTTCCACTGGTTGTGCCGAGCGGCCGTATTGGGCAGGCACCAGGGTATGAGGTCGACGAGTTGTCCGGTGGACAATTTTATCTGCGCGCAATTTCATGGTTCAGTTCCAGGTTCCACAGTTTTCGTAGGAATATCAAACTGGCAGACGAACAGGTCAAAGCAAAAGGCTGAGAGTTTACAAGTCGCCACCTTCTCGGCAGGAAGATCGCGCCAATCGGCCCCGGGCCTTTTGGGAATACGCTGGCAGCGAATCAGATTCAGTTCATTCATCTCCTTGGAGATATGATCAGTCAATACGTCGGTCTTCCCTCTAGTATGCATTTGAAACCAGGACTGAGCAGGTTCGGTATACTGCACGAGGAAAGAACAAGAGATTGTTTTAAACCACGACTGAGGAGGTTCGGTACACTGCACAAGAAAAGAAGAGAACAGGTATCTTCAACGAATATCGAGTATTATCTTTCCCTATCTCTGGCAGGGAAGCTCAATGCCTCCAAATCTCGACGGTGAACAGAATCGGAAACTGGTCCCGTTAGTTACGAGCACTTACGACTGTCTTTTGGGTGTCAGCACCGTTAGCCACCGCGGGAAGGTCAGCAATTGTGTCTCTGACAGTGATGGCCCTGAAAGGAGCACCCAGCCCTGCGTCTCTCACTGCGGCGTACTGCCCACCACCAGGCAAAGTAATTCCTAGCTGTGAGCTTGCAAAGACGTGTCTGGCCTCAGGCCAATTCGGTAATGCCTCATCTGGAGCTGCTGCCCAGATGAATGCCCTCTTCCTAGACTGAGAAACACCAAAGTTCCCAGCTTGTAGCACGCCAAACCGTACCTGCATGACATGAATGACGGAAGGCCAAAATCAGCTCTATGCAATTTATAGATTGAAGTCCAATTTTTTGAGCTCACGTACAAACCTATCGGGTGAACGATCTACCTGATTTCCACTGAATGTTCTAAGATTATGGGTCTGTCCATCTTAGTGGTACTTCTTGACATGCACATAAACAGAAGTATTGCGCTTGTCGCATGAGTTAATACTAATGAGCTTATGTGCGTATATGTTCATCGGTAAAATTCGGGCATTATCGGCTTTTCTCAGTACCTGATAACCCATCTCGAGCAGAGAGGCCATAGTCAATCTGAAAGTTTGGCCCTTGTTGAATGAGACGAAGTTCCGAACGTTTTCAAGCAAGAAGTATCGAGGACGGAAATAGTCGGCGTAGGATAAGAACGCTAGAATCATCTCACATTGTACTTTAGACCATACTCTTTGACTGAAACGATTCATTCCAGAGAAGCCCTGCAGTCCACGAATTTTCATTTCAAGATCAAACATGTGTGCTCCTCTGTCCACATCGTTGTTAGTGAGATACATTAAAAAAAAATAGGGAGACTAAGTAAAGTACTCGGTACGGGTCTTTGGGGCCGTCGTAGTATAGCATGAATGGTAAGGTAGCGAGCTCACTACATCTGTCTTTGATATCCATCATGAACGCCCTTATCCATCCTTACCTGACAAGGCGGTCCTCCGTTCACAAAGTCAACCTCTCCTGGAATTGGAAGCTTGCTCTTCTTGATCTCTTCCATTTTGGAGCACAAATCATCTGCCTCAGGAGTAGATACGCAATCATCCAAGTCCCCTCCTCTTTCCATGATAGCTCTGTCCGAAAATTCAAACGAGTTTGTTAGCCACAATTAAGAAGCTGGAACAAGTCAAGAACGAAGGTGACCTCTAATAGTGGAGCATTCATAGTAATAAGACTTCTCTCAGCTATCCTCTGCTCACGGCAGGAAAAACCATGTAGCCGCTACCACACCAGAGAAATTTTGTAGTTTACAGCTCAAGGACATTCCAGGAGAACAACGTGGACTCACAGACCAACACTCTAGGTGTCAAATATCATCTTAGACCTCGAATTTAATCCTTCACCAGTCAGTACAGGAAAGATGTTTACATACAGCTACTCCAATAAATAGTCAATGTTCTCTTTGAAGCTCGCAAAAAACTGAGATGCTGGTATTTTTGTATGGTTCACAAGTAGTAACAGAACCATTTGTCTGAGGTCCACATCTGTGTTCAGACAAACCATACAGGAACGTTGCAGTTCTATTATGAGATGATGTAGTGGATTACGAAACAGTTCATGTTACATTTGCGTCAGCTGACCGGCCGTGCATTACCTCAGTACAACGTTGCAGTTATCACAAAAAACTTCTGAGCTTGGATGATTCAATTTGAAGGCCTCAGCGGCCTCCCGATCGTATTCGATTGCCCACTTCGTCTCGCTAACTCCTGCACTCAGAGGGTGAGAGGCCCGTGGAGGATACAAGGAGAGCTCTCTTATATAAAGGGCAAAATACTGCTAAACTTGAGACTTTATTATTAAAGTCTCAAATTTATGGTATGAAAAATGTGCTCAATGTACTCATTTAAGTGTTCAAAGAAATCACGCTCAGCTAAGACGAGCTCTATCGTGACCACGTCCAGCGACTTAACGATCATCTTTCACATATATGGTGTGCTTAAACTAAGGCCTTCAAAAGGTTTATAAGTACCTGACTGGTGTAATCCTTCAGAAAGACCACCGCACCCAGCAAAGATATCCAGTGTCGCTAGAGGTGGTGATTTCTCCTCTTCAAGATTTTGTTGTTCTTGAACCTCGTCATCAACTCTTGCTTTACCTTTCCCTTTGGCTCTAGTTGTGCGAAGGGACGTCGTGTCTACTTTTTTATCGGAAGAACCCAGCTTGATATTAGCTGGCAACTGCACGTACCAACCACAGGAGTCAAACAGTGCCAGTGGAGGGCTTATTGTGAATTTTGTAAGTACCAAAGATGCAAATTAGTAAAAACTCACGTGCTTGATCGTTTGTGTTTTCGGATCATGGACGTAGTCGCAGACGAAAACGTGGTCGAAAACGCCCTTGCTTGTGTCAAGATTATGTACATTCCGCCGAACCTCACATTTTCCACGAATGTTGGATATATCTACCGTGTATGTATCTTCGCTGTAGTATACCTGCACGATGCAGCAACACGTCACACAAGAAAGGTTCAAATACTAGGATAGTTATCAAGGAGGTTAGAAGTCCCAATAACGTCGATACTCAATTGTTTATGCAGTTGATATAGAGTGAAGTTAGTCCGCTGTTCTTGAAGTCCGCACAGATGAAGTAACATGAAACCGTTCAAAACAGCAACCTGCCTTCATAGACCTTGTAGCTTTGACGTACTTACTTCGTGAAGCTGAGACTTGTAGGCTTTCATATTGTCAACGTCTTCCGGTCTGTAGAATCTTCTCACACACATAGAGCAAGATTTTGTCTTCGAATTCGCCGTCGGAGGTAAGGTTACACTTAGAAGCTGGCAAATGATGAATGCGTGAAGGCCTTTGTTACGACCTCCCTTATGAGTAGTGTTTTCTGACGGCTTACTGGATGGCTTAGAAAGTTTCAAAGCCTCTGGGTCCAGATACATATAATCGTTGATGCGGTATTCGACCCCTTGCCAACGGAATCCTCTGCCTTCTGGATATATTTCGACCTCCATCTTCTTTTCACAATCTTCCCTCGCCTGACAAGCAGAACAAATGCCACTCCCGACACCTAAAGCGTCGGATGATACACTGAAAAATGCACCGTTTTCAGGTGACCACCAAGATCGGCAGAAATATTCCTGAGGTAATCCTCTCCTTTTGCGCTCTTTGGCCATTTTCCTGTCCTCTTCATCTTTAGTAGCATTTTCCTTCCTAAATTGATGTCCCCAATTACGCTTTCTGATCTCAACTTGTGTAAAATCCTTGACTTGAGCAACTCTGATCTCACTGCAAGCATCTGTCAGGAAAAGCTCTCGCTCATTAGCTGCATCTCCTAGAATAGTCTCCTCACCTTTCACGAGCATGCGTCCGTGGATCATGGGCCCATCGTCTGAATCGTAGAGGTACTCGATCAGAAAACGTCGTGATGCAGATTCACCAGAGATGCTAACTGCATCGCCGGCTTTGAGCTCTAGGCCTGAAAACAGAGCCTTCTTGTATACTGGACAGCCTTCTCGGGTCTCATGTGAGGACTCATCTCCCCACTTCACTTTAGAACTAGAGGACTTCCACAGCTGTTGCTTTGTACTGCTGTTTCTTGTTGACTTGGGCCTCGTACATTTTTGTGGGCTCAAACCCACTGGCGGCGAAATTACCTCAACTACTTCATCGTCCGAATCGTCTCCGTCCACAACATCTACAGCTACAATCTCACTATCCTTGGCATTGCTCTCATCTTCACATGGAGGGCAAGCATCAGAGGCATCAGAACCAAAATAATTACTCCAGATCCGATTAACTAGTTGCGTAGTTGTAGCTCGCATTGGTGCTTTCTTCTCCTTTTTGACCACGTCAGAAGATTGAGGCTGGATAATGGCTCTTGGATTTAGATTGACTTCTTTTTGCAGCAAGAGTCTTCTCTTCGAAACAGCCAGCTTTTCGTGACTCTTCTGCTCCATTTTCGTAGCTAATCCAAGAATGAAGCCACTTTTCTGTATGAGTTGATCAGGGAACTCCGCAAACTGTTGAAGTATAATCTGGCCATGGACAATCACATATCTTTCGACATCTGCTTGCTTGGAAGCTATCCAGGTTGGCTCAGTTCTAGCCTGTTCAGTCAGCTTCTTGATAACATCGTTGAAAGAAAGACGTGAAACTCGATTCTCATCCTTCAGCATAGTTATGATCTTAACTGCAATTTTGGCAGTTTTCTGCACCGGTTTGTACCAATCAGCATACTGTCTGGAGGGAGTGCCGAGCCGGTACCAAGATACTTCTGTCCTGAACGATATGATAAGCATTCCTGATCCCCACTCCACCTTCCACTCTTTCACAGCACTCAAAAAAACCCGAAAGCCACCGCGTTCTTCATCTTGAATGCTTCTTCCACCTCCGTCTTCTTCATGGTAGTATCCGGAGCCATCATCCTCGGATATAACTCCGGAACCAAAGATCTGCATATCATTTTCTGCACATGGGAGCATGGGCAATAGCTCCAAGGAAACTAACCTCATCTCCGAATTATAAAGTGTCCAGTTGTCAAGAAAGCGATGTGGAAAATCCTCATCGTCGGGATGAACATCTTCAGCGAACATGACGTATTCGTCAGTTTCAGGTTCATCCGACTTATAATACTCGGGCTCCGGATAGTCGTTTGCGATCTCGTTCTCATTTATTTTGACATAGAACTTCCCCTTGGCGGCTGGAGTTCGTCTGGCTGGGCGGTTACTGGCCAAGTCCATTACATTTTGGAGACGTCGAGCGAGCTTGTAATCATCTCCCAAGGGAGATCCTGGACGAAAACAGAAGCTGGGTCAACGTATGATAATGATGCGAAAAAAACTAAAGCTGGAACCAAGAGTTTAATGTACGAAGTTGGTCAGAAGCACAATATACGAACCATCCGCAGTTTCATTTTCCGCAAGGGGTGCTCCAGCATGCAAGTCCTCGCCTCCTAGTCGACGTTGCCTACGATTTGCAGATAAGTGTTTCAGTTCCTCCAGACATCCCAAACCACTGAAAAGCTGAGATCCATCTGGAGCATCTGCATCCAAGGCGTACAACTGTGTAGCTACGAACTCTCCAATGTCGGACAAGTAGTCTCGGCTGAAGAACTGGCCAGATGTACCCATATTGTTGTACAATCTAATGAGCCGAAGTTCAAGATCAGGAAGACCCATCGATGGGTCTCCACCATCAGGCAAAGACAGAGCTCTATAGACTTCACGACATACCCGGGCACTATCAAATAGAGGACCGTAGATCTTTCTGTAACACGCTGCAGGCCTATCCAAGTAATAATCTGCCATGCTTGTTGAGAGCACAATTTCTACCCGGTCTTCATCGTAGCCCATGATCGACCACGAGTGGACAGGACCAAGAGAGTCACAGCGAACACCTTTGTCTTTATCCAAGGCTCCGTCTTTCGAAATGCAAAGTCCTGAAAGATAGGTTCCATTCTCCATGGGATCCACAGGCCTGAGTCTTCCATGGCCATCATGGAGATAAAAATCTAGAACAGTTCGTTGTTGAACCTCTGATCCATCAGATTCCGAACGGGTCATCATAAGCATGGTGGTTTGATCTTCAGCGTAACGTTCTTTCTTGGCATCAATCCTCGCGTCTCTCTCGCCTAATCGTATCCTCTTCTCTTTGAAGTTTGTCCCTGCAGCCGCTCTCTTTGGACGTCTGGATGAGTATTGAGGCGTTATCTCCTCCTCGGTATCTGCCTCACATCTTCCACTCGAATCCGCTGGATTATCTTTGCTAGCAAGGCCAGGTGGACAGTCAGTGGTTCTAGCTTTCTTGCACTCTGCAGATTCTCCAAAAGAATCACCTACTCGCTTCCTGCTTCTCATACTCGCACCCTTTGAATCCTCCGATGATACACCTGATGAACTCTCAGATAGAGTCTCGGCCTTCACCTTCTGCTTCTTCATCTTACATAAATCTTTCACAGATCCGTCTGCACCCTCACAAGCGATGGCCGCGACCTCCTTGGGGCTTGATTTTGATGAGTTTGAAGCTTTTCTTAGCTCGGAAGCAAAATCCACTGCAACAGATTTTCTTTCACCATCTTCGTGATCGGAGGCTGAAACATGACCAGACTCCCCATTTACTTTCTCGGTTTTACTCGGCTTTTGATCCTTCTTTGTTGGCAGGGATTTCGTTGATGTCCCGTTGGTCTCAGACTTCGGACTCTCCTCCATGTAGGCCAAACAAGTTTTCCACGATCGCAGCTTCGACCCTGCCAGAGCAGAACAGGTGTGTTTCTTAATGAATGAGACAATTCCTATCGATTCATGGTTAATGTACCACAGCACTGGGAACAGATTAATGAGACTTTTAGTCTCAATAATCAATTATCAACTTCGGTACGCATAATGCGTACCGAAGTCCAAGACAACAAGGTTAGAAACCAAGGAGAATGTAATCAATGTCAGAGAGTGCTCAAGTGACGGCGATTCCAAAATGCTGGCAGTAAAAGATAGCTATTGAAGTACCAGCTGTATACTTCATTACACATCTTAAGAAACAAGTTAGACGGTTGAACTCAACCCTCAGTGGAGGAGATTCTGAGAGTAGACTTAGATCAACATTGCTTTGAGGCAGCTGGAACTGTCTGGAGTGAAGATACGGTTTGCTACTCACAAGCCGTAAAAGACGTGGGTCGTGTAGTATGTAAGAGACGTCAAGGACACTGCGGAAAAGAAATCCGAAACATAGAAGCTGGAATCAAAACTAGTTGAATCCTCAGGAGAGCAAAAAGCTATGTAGATGTTTGTACACAATGTGCTTGATAAGAATGTCGATCTGTTTGAAGAGAATTCAACGAGGGCCCAGTTGGGGTAAAGTGAATAGCTTAGTCAGGATGAAGTGGCTAAATACTAGAGAGAAGACCCCAAACGAGATCTTGCGTCACAAGATCGATCAGTGCGAAACTAGGGGTAGACCATGACTAATACGGCATGCTGTGATAGGTATTATGCTTTAGTGTAAAATTCCAGCAGTGCGAACGCCGAGAAGGATTATCATCTATAAATCTAAATAATTAGTCCAGGGACATATATCGACAGTAAAACGATTTCTCAAAAACACCAAAACTTTATCAGAGCCCGTCGGGATCTCCAATCTCAGAATTGGAGGGCTAGTGATCCTTTGACTTAATAGCAGCCAAGAAGAACCTAGAGCAAATCAGTTTGTTCGGGTACACTTCACCGACGTTAGTGAGTGCATACGAAGATGTCTGCACGAAAGACATATTTCGGTGGTATGAGGTTTAAGAAGCAACAGAGGTGGTCCCAACATTTTGAAGTAATTTCTACCATAGAGAAACCAAATGGTTTTCCAACTTGAGAAAGTAAAACCGTATGATGTATACGAGGTTTGACAGTCAATACCAGAAGCTATACAGTCATTCTACAATTGACACAAATTAAGTCGGGCGATTACCCTCCTCTGCGAGATTTTCAGGCTAAAGCTTCTATCATGACAACTGCCTGGAAGATGGGATTTGTCCACACGAAAACAATCCCTGCACCTCGAATTCTGAATGCACTAGAATTTGAATCTCTTTGGCATGTTCTCCATCAAAACCCAAAATGGCAAGTCAGTCAAACTGGTAATGCTGAGAAAGAAAAATATATTAAACATGGGGCATTGTGACAGAACATTAGCAAGTTCCTCAATATCGCACCGTCAGAAGTTCTGAACACCGAAAAAAATCTACTGGTGAATTCTCAAACAGAACCACCTTATGCTGCATTAAGACAAGATAGCCTTCGATATGGAATATATTGCAGAACTAAATACACTGAAGCTAATTTCCGTCAGATCACAAGGACTCTTGCCAAAAATGGTTTGCAGTGTAAATTCTCCTACAGTATCGAATACTGCAGCGAGTCTACGCAGTAGATTCGCGCAAACAGAGGCTAAAAAAGCAGACAAACCCGTGACATTTAGGAGCAGTAGTGATTGACATATTCCATCTGAAATGGCTTGAGTCATCAGCAGGCATACACCGATATACACAATCTTCAGCTGGATGATCATGTTAAGACGAAGTTTCTTTGAAAAAGAGTAAGGTTCTTGCATAGACATGTGCATCATATGCAACCGAACAAGTGAGGATGGAGATAACTCACCGTCAGGGGCGACATATATTACAGTTTTTCTGCCGTTCGGGTACGACCTTACAATGATATTACCACCATAGTCCTTCCACTCGGCTTCTCCAAGAACTGGACCCATGATTCTACGTAACTGTGGCTCTGCTGGTAACAAAATTGTCACAGAAATGTAACAATTTGTGGACACAAACGCAGATGGTTTCTGGAGGTTTCAAGTACCCCCAGTTCTGTTTCACGTCTGCCCAACACTTCTCTCCATCAATGTCGGCTGCCTCCCTGTTTGCTACTGAACTGCAACGGCAAAAAGAGGTGCCACAAGCTGCAAAATTTCCCACCACCTGCGAAGGAATTCATAGATTTTCTCGGGCGACTGAATTTAGTCACAGTCCAGTCTCAACTCAGATTACAGCTCTGCTTCAGTGCATCTTTCTTCGAAATTCGAGACTGGACTCACATGTTCCCAGGTCCACTGCACCAACTCAATCTCAAGAGTCAACGACCAAGACGATAAACTTCATTCCCCTCGCAGTCACAAGCCTTCGAGAGCTCCACCGACTCCTCAACATTGCTAATTACTGGCATGCAGTTGGGCCGGGAGCCACGACTAAGAACGGAGCATTTCTGTTTGTTGCCACTCTGCTCGAGCTACGCTGCGCTGCAGCTCAAGTTCCCCCGCTCTTCTTCACAGTTCCCTCGTTACGTATCTTTAGACGCTGACTCGGAGTAGATTCTCAGAATTTTGAACTGAGATTCTACAACGAGACGTCGTCACAATGAGAGCATATGCCGGTACCCGCCACCGGTACCCCCGAGCTTAAACTTGGACTTGTCAGCCAGCCAGCCTTTGACTGAATGCTGTGAAGTCGCGTCTCTAACTTCCGAAATCTCTGAATTCGCGTTGTTCTGAGTAACCTTGCACTACTCGCAGAAGCGTCCAATGTTGTGTCGAGAACTCTGTCGGTGTGGCGAGCGTGTTGAAATGGTATCACACACCTCCTTTCTTAAACAATTTAAATAGTGTTTTGTAGGTTGAAGGATAAATTAGCATAAACTAATTAACATATTCCCGCCAAGACCTTCGTTTCCGCGGGAATAGTGGGCCCTGCGAAGAACAGTTGCCGCCGAATAGATTCCCCGTCTAGATTCCGAACTATAGAGTTAAAGCTCCCAATAGTGACGTGCATTGGTGCTAGGGTTCTTACGTCGTTTCCGGAGTGGTCACTCGCAAGAGTAAATTGCTTAACCTTGAGTATAATCTCCTAATAGTGACGTACATGGGTGGTAGAGGGGATGTCTTGAGTTCTTGGGAGTTGCGTAATCTTGAATATAAACTCCTAATAATTACATACATTGGTGTTAGGGTTAGATCTCAACGTTGCGAACCATTCATTCTAAAAAATGAAGAGTTGCAAGTCATCACTCACCGATGAAATTTACATCGTGATTGTTTTGTACACCAGGTGAATTGGAAACAACAAAGACGGTGACGTCAAAGCTCAATATTATTAATGTTATTTTTTTAATAGTGTTTTTCATCCAACCAATCGGAACATGAGAAAAGTTTGCAAGTGTTTTTTAAAATTGGAGTTGAGTGGTGACTAACAGTTCATTATAAAAAACACATAAATTTTATATGCGTTGTTTGGTTTCAAAATCATTTGCACATTTGTATTGTTCACTAGGATTGACGTAGGAGTTATTATTTTATTTGAATTCAGATTACTACATAAAAAAATTGAGTGAAACAATTGATGATAATATATGTAGCAAAGTGTTTTATTGAAACCCAAAAAAAAGTAAATTATTGAAATAGACCTTTAAATAATAGTATGTCACATTTTTTCCTCATAGTTATGGATTGTGATAATGATAGGAATTTTGATTCCGACATTGTATTTGAAATTATCACTATTGGATAATATCATGTCACTATTGGCAATAGTGACATACTGTTTTTAATAAGCAGAATTACATGTTAGAAAGTAATGATTCTGGAATTTTACGTCACTAATGAAAAGATGTCACTCATAAGAATTGACACTATTGGGACGTTTAACTCTGAATGGGTTTCGGACTCTTTTCAGACCATAGCTTTTTAGCTTACTCAAGGTGTGTGAAGACAAGAGTGGAATGGAGCTCTATATAGTAAAACTCCACTATGATATACTCATCGACGGATACCTTGAACGAACCTATTTGCAAATTCTTGACCGTCATTCATATTCATCCATGAACTTCAATTTTAAAGTACGTTTTTTAATACATGAATTCCTTTCTCTCTCAGATTACAGTACCCGATCGTCGAATTCCTTGGGAGAATATCTATCGAATAAAATTTCTATCAGATCGCATGGAAGTTAGTTCAGCATGTGAGAATTAGAGATAATTATTATCTGCAATGATAACTCTTACAAAATTTAGATTTTCGAATGAATTTTTCTAATTCATGCATGAGTGTGCTCATGATTTGACAAAATACTTATTAATTTGACTACTTTATATATATATATATATTCATATATTGATAGATAATGATTGGCTAAAGTGAGGTCTAAAATCGTATTCTTAGTTTTAAAAAATAAAAAATAAAAATTTGTCCTTAACTATGGTTCAATCCTACACTATGTCTTTGAATATTTGAACACTTTTGTACTTGAATCATTAAACAAACCAATGCCTAGCTCCAACTGCTATGAGATTTATGACATTTCTTAAGATTATCTATCTTCGACCAAGTTTCAATTATGAGAGGTTTTAATGATGCAAATTCTTCATATCAATTTAGGTTCATTGTATTCAATCCATTACAAGCATGTCAAATTTGGATTGTGCTTGAAAATTAAATTTTTCTTTGTGGGATCATAGCTCACCTAATTTACAAGAAATCTTAATTCAAGTTCAAGCATGGAGTGTATTCTTCTTACTCATTTGTTAAGACCCTCATTCTTATTTTTACTACTTTTGAAACCTACTCACTTCTTTCTCTTCATCAATATTGTCCACTTGCAACTCTATATGTCAAAAGTATACTTTCTTTATATATTCTTTTTGGTATTCAATTTTGGATTTGATCCGTTTTGTTTATGCCAACTTTACAAATATACATCCATCTCTACATTCAAGACTATATTAAATTGTACTACCTTTGGTAACATTAAACCGTTGTCAACTTTATAATTACATTTTCCTCTATCAACTCTATGATTATGCTTATCACCGTGAATTATAGTAATGTGTGCTATTGTTAATCACTTCTAAGTAATATTTATTACTAATAAGAAGATCTCAAGTTGATAATCAATGAAATATCATGTTCTCACTCTAATGTAGAAGTTGACATTACTCGTACACTATATGTATGCTTATAATTATATGAACGCAAAAAAACTTGACAAATAGTGGTTGTGATATCTATTATTGTATACTTTTAATTTTTTTTGAAATATTGCATATGGAGAAATATAAGCCAACTAACAATAGTTCAATTTCAAATCTCTTCACCTATTTGTTTCATCAATTCTCTTTCCTCTCTATTTACTAAATGTATACATCCAACCATTGGTACTAATTTATCATCATCATCTTCATATCTATTAGGTTAATTCTACTTTGTATTAACTTCATTTAGCGATGAACATGGTTAAAAAAGTTAACTGTGGTTAGATTAGCTAAAATGCACCTTATAGAAGAGAGAAGTTGCCATTCACTAAGTATAGTTTTAGAGTTGCACTTTGAGAGTGAACACGGAGTAGTTGAGCTTGTGTAAACATTTTTAGTTAGTTAGAACTAAAGTAGAGGTTACTCTAAATATTGATATAAATAAAATATATATTTTTGGACGTTGGTGTTTTTTTTCATTTTAGTGTGCACAAGCCATAGATGCCACGCCAGCGATCTGCGCACTTGGTAGGTATGGAGTAAATGTGTTAGTTGACCGCGCCACGTCAGCAATCTGTGTGCTAATAGGTAAGGATTGAGTGTGTTAGTTGGGAGCGTCACGTCAGCAATCCATGTGCTTGTTAGTGATAATCAGCTGCAAAAACAAAGATTTCTTTGTGTGCTGCGTCCTCCCAGCCCCTCATCAATAAATCATTAAGCTCATAAACATAGGCAAAGTGCCATTTGATGCGTAACTAAAAACAAGAGCTCTCCACGACTCATCAACAGGTTCCGATCCGCCACGTCATCCATCCACTAGAATTGAGATGGATGGTGAGGATAAGATGTTAACTCCTTATACTTGTTGGTGAGAGCTATAAAAAGAGTGGAGAATCATTGTTGGTATCTCTCATCTTCAGAGTTTACGTTTCTATCTTCGAGTGAGTTTCTATCTAAACCCTAGTGTTATAATAGTATCAAAGCGACCTTGCTATTTCCTTGAGTGTGAATTACCCCTAATGGAATAGCAAGTGAATGATGATGCAATGCAGTTTTGAGAGTGTATAGAGGCTAGCAGAGGTCATTCATTTGCATGTAAAAAGAGTTGGAAGGTGGAGCTTGTGGTTTTGCAGTTATGGACAAGATTGAGAGTAATCCAGTACCGCACTGACCAATTTGTAACTTATTCGATATTCACCTTCGTTGCATGTAGAAACATCATTTTCGGATGTACCTTGTGGCTTGTTGGGGTGCAGATTTTATGACTAGAGTGAAGGAGTCAAGAGTACCATTGATTCTTCCAATAATTACTTATGAAGAGACTTGGGATTGTACTATATACTGAATGTTTCATGAATTTGAATCGCGAACCACCTGTCCCGGTTCGGTTCAGCACTTATGTAGAGATTAGAATAGTATACCGACAGAAGAGTATATGGAGAGCTTTTCTTGTGATGAATTATGAAGAGTAGTACTATAGAGTTGTGATAGAATCACCTGTACCTTTTGTGGCTCCTTTGTTGAGAGGTCAGATAGTGATTATACTCATTTTGTATCAGAGGGAGTGTGAGAAAGCATGGGGACATCAATCGATATGAGTGAGGTTCTCAATGCAATCATGGCGGAGATGAAGAAGTTGACAAAAGCGATAGTAGATGGTCATACCAAACAGCAAGTCATGGAAGATAAAATCTTCGCATTTGATTGTGAGAAAGGAGAGAGAGAGAGTTGAGAAAAGCGATAGTAGATGGTCATACCAAGCAGCAAGTCATGGAAGATAAAATCTTTGCATTGGACTGTTAGAAAGTAGAGAGAGAGATTTGGAAAGATGGAAGTTGAACCTCAAGTTCAAGCTTCCCAAGTTCAGCCAAAACTGTAAGACCGGTTATTGCATGTGTGAAATAAATCTAGAATTAGCCAAGGAGTTAATCATGATTACGATATTTATGACTAAATCTAGCTAGTTATGACTAAGTCTAGCTAGTTTAGCTATACTGTCTATACTTGGCGGAATAACTAGAAAAGTTCTAGAAGTTTTGAGTGAGCACTTCTATTTTGTCTTGTACAAAAGTCTATATTCCAAGAGAAAAGACTTATTGACTTCATGTTTGATTGGTTTGACTAAAGTAAGGAGTAGTCCATTAATTAGACTAAGTCTAATGTTCACTTAGTGGAAAGTGAAAGTTCTAGAAGTTGGAAAGGCACAAATGGCATGTCACCACTTCAATCTAGGGATGAGTAAACATCTAGAAGGTTTAGGAGGCCAATGGCATGTTGCCACATATTGATAACTAGTCAACCTTACTATGATTTATCTTTGTAAAAGTAAGTTAGATAGAAATTACCATTTTTTACTATGGTAAATTCTCAAGTAATATATATAGAGAGGTACGGAAGAACCTCTCAAGCAAGTTTGGAGAGTTCATATGTAAGGACTTGTTTCATATATGAAAGAGTAACAAATTTTCAGTACCTTGGAGTGTTGATATGTGTGTGAGTTGGAGTGATACCTTGAGAGATTGTGTGAGAGAGTGTTTGGGCTATGAGTATGAGGAGGAATCCTAGT